GGCGCCTTAGCCTGTTGAGCTATAGGCGCCGAGCCATGTAGGTTTATTTTTAAGTTGAATTTGTAAGTTGGAACAGGTGGGTATATTTACCTATTATCTATGATAGCCTTTGTTAAATGTGAGTCGTATGTCAGATGTTTGTAACTTAGGAATTGCCTGTATTCCAAAAGAGACATTACTATCCTGTTCTCAGCAATGGTGGTAGCAGTGACTTTCCTGGGTGCTCAAGTTGAAAAGCGACATTCATTTGGAATGTCCTTTTACAACATCAGATCCTTTTACAACATCAGATCTCCTTCCTCAGACTGTTCTGGCAAAGGTCCCCTTTCTACCAACATATAACATGGAGACCTCTCCCCTAGTGGGTCACCTGAAGGAGAGTGGGTCATTTGTCAGCTTCCCCAGGGAACAGTATGCAGAGAGGCCCAGGCAGTTACACAGGCTCCTTGCAGAACAGACTTCCTCCCAACCAGCTGCACCCACCAGACGTGAAGGGACTACATGGTGGATCCTGATACTCCCAGGCTTGCTGAGCCTGGTTACCCACAGGAGAGAAAAGACCACATATAAACAAGCTTTAAAGAACACCACCAACCTATCCAGTTCTTTCTTCAGCACTGGGGTCTCCATAATGGAATACCGTGGCATTGGAGTTATGGGCACTTTGGGGGGCAAGTTCTTCTTTCGATTAGCACCTTCTGAGTGAGACAAAAGCAGCATATGTTTTAGCATAAGAGACATGGATTTACCACTTCTTATCCTAGTGTCACCACAAAGACTGCACTTGAAGACAACCTAACCACCATTTTGCTCCATGAAAGCAAGAAATGACCATCTCCTTCCCTGTTTGGAAAGCATCATAGGGCACACGCCGAGGACCATGCCTTGTCTGACACTAATACTGAGTGAGCATGGCTCTTGGGGCTGTTCGACCCAACAGCCCAGCACAGGACTAAACCCAACATATATAAACTTAAAATGTCTTACAACACATGTGACAACTTGAGACAATAGGCAGTACTGATACCCTTCAAGCAGGCTTAGACATCAATTTTTTTTTTTGTAATTCAACAATAAAAGGACAAATAATCCAACAAAAAATATGAACAGACATTTATCCAAAGAAATGGCCAATAAGCACATGAAAAGATGCTCAACATCATTAGCTACAAAGGAAATGCAAACCAAAACCACAATGAAATGTCATTTCATACTCATTAGAAGGCTATAATAAGAAACATGAGGCTCAGCGCCTGTCATTTCATACTCATTAGAAGGCTATAATAAGAAACATGAGGCTCAGCGCCTGTAGCTCAGTGGTTAGGGCACCAGCCATATACACCAGAGCTGGTGGGTTTGAATCTAGCCTAGGCCTGCCAAACAATGACAACTACAACCAAAACATAGCTGGACATTGTGGTGGGCGCCTGTAGTCCCAGCTCCTTGGGAGGCTGAGGCAAGAGAATCACTTAAGCCCAAGAATTTGAGGTTGCTGTGAGCTGTGATGCCATGACACTCTACCAAGGGTGACAGCTTGAGACTCTGTCTCAAAAAGAAACAATGTTGGTAAGGACTGGGAGAATTTTACATTCTCACACATTGTTGATGGGAATGTAAAATGGTGCAGCCATTTGGAGGACAGTCTGGTGGTTCCTCAAAATGTTTAAGAGTTATTCTATGACCCAGCAACTCCACTCATATATATCCAAGAAAAAAGAAAACTTACATCCACACAGAAACTTGGACATGAACATTCATAAGCAGTATTATTAAAAATAATCAAAAAGTGAAAGCAACCCAAATGTCCACTGATGGATGAGTGGATAAACAAAATGTGGTATAGCATACTGGGATATTATTCAGATATAAAAAGGAATAAAATACTGATACATGCTACAACTTGTATAAATCTTGGAGACTATATGCTAAGTGAAAGAGGCCAGACCACAAAAGATCAACATACAGTTCTATTTATATGAAATGTCCAGAAGAGGCAAATCCATAGAGACAGAAAGTACAGTATTCATCTCCAAGGGCTGGGGAAGGCGAACAAGAGGGACTTTTAATGGGCAAAGGCTTTACTTCCAAGTTGATTAAACTATTCTCGAAATAGTGGTGATAGTTTCACAACTTGGTGAATATACTAAAAACCATTGAACTAAACATTTTTAAAGGGTCAATTTTATGGTATAAGAATTATATCTCGGCTCGGCGCCTGTGGCTCAAGTGGCTAAGGCACCAGCCACATACACCTAAGGTGGCGGGTTCAAATCCAGCCCAGGCCCACCAAAACAACAATGATGGCTGCAACCAAAAAATAGCCAGGCACTGTGGCAGGTGCCTGTGGTCCCAGCTACTTGGGAGGCTGAGGCAGGAGAATCGCTTGAGCCCAAGAGTTGGAGGTTGCTGTGAGCTGTGATGCCACAGCACCCTACCCAGGGGGATAGCTTGAGGCTCTGTCTCAAAAAAAAAAAAAAAAGAATTATATCTCAATAAAGGTATTACTTTAAAAAATAAGTACTTTACTGTAATCCCAGCTACTCAGGAGGCTGAGGCAGCAGGACGGCTTGAGACCAAAGGTTCAAGCAATGTAATAGGAACCTGTCTCAAAAACAAAAAAAAATTTTAAAGACAAATGGGGAATAAGGCAAATTAGAAATGTATAGACTGTGGGCTCAGCGCCTGTAGCTCAGTGGTTAGGGCGCCAGCCACATGCACCAGAGATGGCAGGTTCAAATCCAGCCCGGGCCTGCCAAACAACAATGACAACTACGACCAAAAAATAGCTGGGCGTTGTGGTAGGCACCTGTAGTCCCAGCCACTTGGGAGGCTGAGGCAAGAGAATTGCTTAAGCCCAAGAGTTTGAGGTTGCTGTGAGCTGTGACATTACAGCATTCTACCAAGGGCGACAAAATGAGACTCTATCTCGAAAAAAAAAAAATGTACAGGTTTTGGTTCTAATCCTCTTTATGTTCATGGAGCCCTTGGAGACGCTGATGGAAACAGTAGGCTCTATCTTCTGAAGAATACACACAGCTCTTCCTACCATTACAGCATTTGTCTTGAAGCCCAACTCGGATTCAGACCCAAATGCACTGGTCTGAAGCCTGCTGCAGCAGCTCTCACAGCACCATCTGGGAATTGGTTAGAAATGCAAATTCTCCATCACCCTCATGAAGCTCTGAAGCTCTAGGATGGATAGGGCTACATGTGTTCTGAAGCTCCTGAGGGCTGAGGGCATTCTCACTGGCATCATTCATCTGAAATTTCAGGAGGAAAGGAGCCACTCAACCACAGGCAGATGCCTACCCACACTCAGCCTCCTTAATCTGGTCACTGCTTAGGGGGCTGCCCTTCCTTGGCCCCTCTGGAAACACCGGGCCAGGGAGCAGCAGCATTGAGAGGGCCAGCAGTGAAGTGAGCTGGGGATGTATCCCCCTTCCAGGGGTATAAGAAAAGATGAGGATCATAGCCCCCCACATCTGGCCTGTTTCTGTTTTTTTAAACTGAGGTGAAATTCACATAAAGAATTGCAAAATAAACAATTCAGAGGCTTTAAGTCAGTCACAGTGTGGGGCAACCTCTGTCTAGTTCCAAAATATTTTTGGCACCTGCAAAAGGAATCCCAGGCCTAATAAGTGTTCACGACCCTGGACAACTACTAGTAATCTGCATTCCATCTCTGTGGATCCACCTATTCTGTATTTTTCCAATTAACAAAACCACATAGCACATGGTCTTCTGTGACTGGCTTTTCTCATTCAGCATGTTTTCAAGATTCATCCACATTGTAGCACATGTCAGTGCTTCATTCCCTTTTGTGGCTGAGAAATGCTCCATTGCATGGACCGCCCACATTTAGTTTGCCCACTCACCTATCAATGGGCATTTGGGTTGCTTCTACTTTTGATTGTTGTGAATAGTTCTGCTATGAACATGAGTGAATAAGTCTCTGTTTGAACCCTGTTTTCAATTTTTTTGGATATATGCTGGGTCATGTGGCCATTCTATGGTTAACGTTTTGAGGAACCACATTTGCCCAATCTTAAAGCACATGGAGATACTTGGTGAACAGAGCTGTGGCCTCTTGAAGTGCTGTTTCAGTGTTCTGCAGAATGTCTACACATGCAGATTTCTAACACATGTCTAGGAGAACACTGGGACCCAGGCCAATTTGGGAAATGCTATCTTACGGGCTGGGAAATAAATATTAATAGGCTGGTTCTCCCTCCACTGGGGAGGGATCTAGAAGGCAATGGGAAGGTTCTACTGCAGGTGAGTAGGCCCTTTAGCATCACTGGCCCCTCGATTTTCATTCAGATGGCCATGGCCCCTTAGTGTAAGGTACTATAATAGAGCTGGTGCAGTGGCTCACATCTATAACCCCAGCTGAGGAGGGTTGAGTTAGGAGGCTTAGTTAGGAAGATCTCTCT